CCTGGACGCAGCTATCAAGTACGGCTCTTCGTGGCAGGCACTGGGGGGTACAGCGAACATGACGACGGTGGCGGGGTCGAATGTGACACTTGACTTCATTGGTACGTATCTGTTCCTTCTTCAGTGTGTCCGAACGCCAACAGTGACAATTGCAGGCACCCAACTCAGCTGGTATGGCTTCATACCAACAGAGCTTCCACACAATCCTTCACTAGCGACATACACAATTGACGGCCAGACCACCCCAACCACATTTACTTTGAAGGGCTTGAGCTCAGCCAATTCGGCCACGATCTACAACCAGCAATTTTTTCAAACGCCCAAATTGTCCTCTTCCGGGCCCCATGAACTCGTAGTGACATTCCGCGGGGACAGCTCCTCCACACCACTCACCGTAACCAATATCCTCATCCAAAACGGCAATCTGTCCATTTCCGCTCCTTACACCCCCAGTTCCAGTTCCAGTTCCTCTCCTTCGAAATCCACTGGTTCATCATCATCATCATCCACGGGGATAACAACCTCATCCCCAACCTCCCACGTCTCAGCGGGCGCCATAGCCGGTGGTATAGTAGGTGGCATCGCCCTCCTCCTCCTCTGCCTTCTCTTCGTCATTTGTTTCCGGAAACGCCGGCGTGCCCCCGCTCTTCCCTCTACATTCGAAGAAAAGGCGGTCATAGAACCCTTCCACGTTCCCTCATCACCGCCGCAGGACACGGAATACACGCCACCCTTGCACAATGCCGGATACTCACGAAAACCCACACACGCCCCACAGCCCAGTTTCCAGTCGTACGATCCCCCAAGTAGCGCTGCGACTTCGTCTGGCGGGGCACCGTCTAATGTGGGTAGGCTGGCGCAGCATCAGACTCAACCGCTTGCGTATCCGTCAAGGAAGCAGATGGAGGCGGCGAGCTCGATAGGACCGACTACTGCGACGACCCAGGTATCGTCCTCGTCGGGTGATGCGCCTATGTCTAGTGATGTACCGAGTGGGAGGTCGAGGGTGGTGATGCATCAGGATAGTGGGATTCGGTTGCCTAGGGAGGCGGAGGAGGTTGTGGAGGTGCCGCCGTTGTATACGCCTGGGTGAACTTTTTGGTGAAGTCATGGAATATTTATATTTATATCTTCGGATGACCATTGTACTGTTTTGTACTGTGAAAACAAGCTTGCCCTCTTTTACAGCTAAATTCCCATCGATTTTATGCCCTACCATTACCTCGGCACCTCTCCAACCTTGAATCCAGCTTGAACAACTCCAACCCCTCTCAGTCTTGTCTTGATCAGTCGGGACATTTTTTACCTTGAACGCTTCCGCGAAACCTCTTGCCACAAAGTTTGAGACAGAACCTCCTGGCTCTAATCCAACCTATTTCCGCTTCACTTCGTCAAACAAACAAAAAACGAGGAATTCAATTGACAAAGTTCTGTTTTTTGAAAAGTCACGTTTTGGTCAGAATTTGATGGGCGCCCTCGAAATCCCTCTGATTCCCACCACATCACTGTCGACCTCCCTTCAATATTGACTAACGTGTTATTTATAGGGCTGACTATGGGAGACAACAGGGTAGTGTTGCCGCAAAGTAAAGTGCTTTAAGTAAGTACTAAAGTGCCTTTAAAGGACTTTATGCCCATATTG